GTTCTATCAGCATGTCTGGCAGACATCAAGGCCTGGATGAGTGTAAACTTCCTGCAGCTGAATATGGACAAGGTGGAAGCCATATTCCTTGGCTTTCATCAATGTCTTCACTCCTGAGGATCTGAACTTCTCAGCCTCTCTGGGGTCTCCCTCACACTCACTGAACCAGTGCGCAATCTAGGCGCCTTCTTCCATCTCCGCCACATTGCTTGCATCCGACCGTACCTTATCCCAAATGCAGCTGAAACCCTGGTGCATGCGTTTGTCACCTCCCGCCTGGATTACTAAAACGCACTCCTTGCTGATCTCTCCAGCTACACTAGTAAAAAGATCCAGTTCATTCAGAGCTCTGCTGCCCACATACTGACCCAGACCAAACTCTGTACTCCCATCTCACCAGGTCTGGCCAGGCTCCACTGGCTCCCCATCACAGACTTCAAGATCCTCACACTCGTGTTCAAATCCCTTCACTCCCTGGTACCTCCCAACCTCTCCAACCTCCTCACTCCCCAATCCACCACCCGGTGCCTCCGCTCAACTGGCACTGGCCTCCTGCTTGTTCCTCGCGCCCTCCCCTCCAGCATTGGAGGTTGAGCTTTCAGCCACTATGCCCAGAAACTCTGGAACACTCTCCCTCAATCCCTCTGCCTTGCCTCCTCTCTCCCCTTTTTCAAGTCCCGCCTGAAAACCTTCCTCTTCGACTGTGCTTACGGCCACCTTTCTCCCCCGATGCACCCCCAGCTTGGAATCAAGCTCCACCATTATATTGTGTTCTGAGACCCTGCTCTGTGTGAGGGCGCTATATAAGTGTAAGTTGTTGTTGTTATTGGGACGATATGGCCGGTTAATAATTGGCTGGAGATTTGGTGTAGGAGGGAAGGGTTTAGATTCTTCTAATAAGACATTGGGACCAGTTCTCAGGCAAGAATGACCTATACAGAATTATGGAATGGACAAGCTACGTGTGAACAAGCCTGGCACCAATCTCCTCAATGGGAAAATAAAATGAGGGCTGCGGAGGAGCATTTAACCAGAAATGCATTCATGAATAGGATACATAATGATACAACACCACTAAAATGGGCAGGAGTAAGAGCAAGGAGCAAAAAAAATATAATATTTATTATGAACTTAATCTGCGACCAAAAATTTCATCTAGGTAGTGTAAGACTGTAAAAAAAAACATTAATTTGGCTTTTCAAGCTATTTCAAGAACTGTGGAATACTGGCTTCCAAATTAAGACTGAATTTCAGAATTTTACACAATTCTGGACAATCTTAAATTTTAAGATTTTTAAGATAAAATTTTTATTAGAATTTGGAAACACTATTTTGAATGCACTGTAACAGTAGAACAAAACAGCACAGGTTCAGTAGCAAAGGGCAATTTCAGGACAATTACCAGGAAGTAGTTCTTTTCCCTGAGGGTAATCAAAGACTGGAACAGGTTGCCAGTAAAAGAAGTTAAGGCCAGGACACTAAACTTATTTAAAAAGTGGTCTGAGACTGTGATGGGAGGTTTCAAGAAGAATGAAATCAAATGGGCTGAAGGGCCCTTTTTACACAAATCAATATTTTCATCTTGTGAAAACATACTAGTCTAATAGAAAACTAGTGGAATTTTATGCTTCATGTAACCTAAACTCTGTTAAAATGCAATGGAAAACCGTCAATCGATTTGTGATGTTTCCCATAATTACTTTCCCCTCCCTCATCCAGCAATCCATAAATTGCTTGCCAATTTTACTCAAACAGGAATATTGCCTTGTGAAAGACCAAATGAAATAAAATGCTGAACTGTGTGTCCTGGTACCTGGGCTAATCTTGTTGTACTAACACTGCTTATCTTGTTTAGGCTGCTTTTCGTGTCAAAGACAATCAGAGAGGTTTGTAGTTTATAGAATCATAGAATTGTACAGCACAGAAGGAGGCCATTCAACCCATCATGTTTGTGCCGGCTCTTTGAAGAGAGCTATCCAATTCAATCCCACTCCCCCACGCTCTCCCCATAGCCCTGCAACCTTGTCCACCCCAAATAATTACCTACTTCTCTCTTAAAAGTTGTTATCGAATCAGCTTCCACCGCCTTTCAGGCAATGCATTCCAGATCCGGACAACTCGCTGTGTAAAATAAATTTCTCCTCACCTCTCCTCAATAGTTGTTTCTTTTAACAACTATTTTAAATCAGTGTCCTCACGTTACTGACCCACCCGCCAGTGGAAATAGTTTCTCCGTGTTCACCCTATCGAATTCCCTCATAATTTTGAAAACTTTTATTAAGTCTCCTCTTAACTTCTCTGCTCCAAGGAGAATAACCCAAGCTTCTCTAGCCTCTCCTGATAACTGAAGTCCCTCATTCCTGGTACCATCCTGGTAAATCTCCTTTGCATCCTCTCCAATGCCTTGACATCCTTCCTAAAGTGTGGTGCCCAGAACTGAACAGTCTCTAGCCTCTACCAAGGCCTAACCAGTGTTTTATAAAGGTTCATCATACCTTCCTGACTTTTGTATTCTATGCGCCTACTTATAAAGCTTAGTATCCCATATGCTTTTTTTTAACAGCTTTATCGACCTGTCCTGTCACCTTCAAAGATTTACTTATATGAACTGATATGAAGTTGTAAGTCATAGCTACTCACTTCTTTCTGAACCCATTGAATAACATCACCCAGCATATCAGGAACTATTCTACTATGAATCACACATTATGAGCAAAATGGAATCAACTAGATCAGGTCTATTTCTTTGTGTGGGAATGGTATATAAGAACATAAGAATTTGCTAGGCGAAAGAAGACCAAGGTCCATCTAGTTCACCTTTCAGCATCCTGCCAGTCGCTTGACATGTCGTGCCCCAAACTATATACTCTTTCCCGAGATATTATTTTCTATCAGAAATCTATCTAATTTGTTATTGAAACAAGTGTTCCATAAGTTTACTACTCTCTCACTGAAGTAGTATTTCCACAGATTTTTTCTGAATTTACCCCCCTTCAATTGTAGGCCGTGTCCTCTGGTTCTACTGTTCAGTACAAGATAAATCAGCTTGTAATGGTCTACATTAGCTATTCCCTTCAGAATCTTAAAGACCGTAATCACATTGACCCTCAACCTTCTCTTCTCCAGTGTGAAGATGCCCAATTTATCTAATTACTCCACATTGTCTAATGCCTCCATCACCTCTATCATTTTGGTGGCCCTCATCTGTATCCTCTCAATCGCTGAAATATCTTTTTTATATTGTGGTGACCAGAACTGCACACAGTATTCCAAGTATGGTCGCACCAGTGATTTGTAAAGTGGCAGAAATGCCCTACTATTTCGGCTCAATATTGCCCTTTTAATACAGCCTAGCATCTGGTTTGCCTTACTCACTGCTACCAAGCACTGTTGGGATAGCTTCATTTTATTAGCAATCAGATAAATTTATCTTATCATTTATTCATATTTGCTTGTGACTCATAACATCAGTATTTTATTATATACATCCACAGAATATTTTGCAATGAAAGAGATAGTGGATTGCATAACTTGATTTCACTGAGTTTGGGTCATGTTTATTTTTATCATCTAATATCTTTGGATGAGACATTAGGCTGAGATCCTGTCTGCCTGTTCAGGGAGATATGAAAATCCTGTAGCACTGTTTGAAAAAAGAAAGAAGTTCCTTCCAGTGCCCTGGCCAACAGCCCTGTAAATTAAATTGGACTTTCACTTCATGACTGTTTATGGGACATTTGCTGTGTGCAAATTTGCAGCTACATTTACCTTTTTTTGGTCTGACACATGCAAAAAATGTATCACCACGCTTAAGAGTATCGAAACCAAGCTAGAATTCCCAAACATCCAACTTACACATAAAATTCCTGAGATAAATTGTTGGAATGGAATTCACACTCTCTCTGAAAGGGATGCATCCTGCTTATCTAATTCCAGAAAATATTAGGTGCAGGTTGGCAAGAGCCAAGGCTTGAGGAGTGTGTGCTGGAGTACTGCTGGAGTCAAACCAGCTGAAACCGCATAACTTGCCAATGATATCGCTGTCTTGCAAGCTTTCCCTCAGCTTGTCCAGCTAGGACCACCCTACCCTTTAGGGCTTTGGCTTGTAGCTTTAACAAGAGCTATTGTGGGATGATTCCCTCCCCCAGTGACTGGTCTGCCCTTCCAGGTCCTGCCGACGAGCCAGGGTGGCTGTGCTGCCATCAGCAGTGCCCTGGAGTACTGCGGACCCGCCCGGCTCAGGAGCCGGGTTACCCGGACCACCACAGAGGGCTGACTGGATTCCCATGTTCAGTTGCCGAGCCTGTCATGGTTTGAGCCGGTTAGACTCCAGCGGTATCCCAATGCACACTCTGGGGTCCCCGAGCCTTGGCTCTTTGCCACGTGTACGTCCGATGGAGTTTGGTTTGAATACTCTTAAGCACGGGGACGGGTTTCCACACGCGTTCTCTTCGCCCGTGCCCTCAGCTCCCCTCTCGACTCTCTACCCCCTCCTCGCTCCCTCCCTCCCCTCCCCCTGACCATTTCCCCCCCAAGGCTCGGGTCCCGACCCAACTGTGCAGCGCCTCGGGACGTCCTCCCGACGTGAAAGGCGCTCTATAAATGGAATCTCGTTGTTGTTGTTGTCAGACACTCGGCTGACACCACAAAAATCGCTCCGGGTCGGGGGGTTGACTTCCAGTCCGGGTTTCGCTCCTCTCCCGCGGGTGGCGCTCTGCTCTGCGCTGCTGCTCCGCTCGCGCTCGGCGCTCCGGGCCGGGTGTTGTGGCGGCGGCTGTGACCTCACATCCGGCGCGGTCGGACACAAGATGGCGGCCGCGTCACAGACACGGAGTCTGAGCGCGAGCAACGGCGAGTCAGAGCGCGCGGCGCCGGCAGCCGCTCACTGACACCCAGACGGCAGCCCTGCGCCCCGCCTCACCCTCTCACTCACCCACTCACCCTCTCACTCCCCCTCTCACTCCCTCCCCCTCCCTCTGCCTCTCACTCCCTCTCACTCCCTCCCTCCCGGCCATCCCGGGATGTATTTCCTCAGCGGGTGGCCGCGCCGCCTCCTCTGTCCCCTCAGGGGCTCCGAGAGGCCCTTCCACCTCCAGCCCGACTCCCGGAGGCTCCTCTTCGCCCTCGTGTCGCCGAGTCAGCTCAGCCTGTGGTACAGCCGGGTAAGTGCCGTCACTCCAGCCACACAGTCACTACAGTCACACAGTCACTACAGTCACTACAGCCTCCAGTCACTACAGTCACTACAGCCTCCAGTCACTCCAGTCACTACAGCCTCCAGTCACTACAGCCACAGTCACTACAGCCACTACAGCCTCCAGTCACTACAGTCACACAGTCACTACAGCCTCCAGTCACTACAACCACACAGTCACTACAGTCACTACAGCCTCCAGTCACTACAGTCACTACAGCCTCCAGTCACTACAGTCACTACAGCCACACAGTCACTACAGTCACTACAGCCACACAGTCACTACAGTCACTACAGCCTCCAGTCACTACAGCCACACAGTCACTACAGTCACTACACCCACTGTCACTACAGTCACTACACCCACAGTCACTACACACACAGTCACTACAGTCACTACACACACAGTCACTACAGTCACACAGTCACTACAGTCACTACAGCCACACAGTCACTACAGTCACTACAGCCACACAGTCACTACAGTCACTACAGCCTCCAGTCACTACAGCCACACAGTCACTACAGTCACTACAACCACACAGTCACTACAGTCACTACAACCTCCAGTCACTACAGTCACTACAGCCACACAGTCACTACAGTCACTACAGCCACACAGTCACTACAGTCACTACAGCCTCCAGTCACTACAGTCACTACAGCCTCCAGTCACTACAGCCACACAGTCACTACAGCCACTACAGCCTCCAGTCACTACAGCCTCCAGTCACTACAGTCACACAGTCACTACAGTCACTACAGCCTCCAGTCACTACAGTCACTACAGCCTCCAGTCACTACAGTCACTCCAGTCACTACAGCCACACAGTCACTACAGCCACTACAGCCTCCAGTCACTACAGTCACACAGTCACTACAGCCTCCAGTCACTACAGCCACACAGTCACTACAGCCTCCAGTCACTACAGTCACACAGTCACACAGTCACTACAGCCTCCAGTCACTACAGCCACACAGTCACTACAGCCATACAGTCACTACAGTCACACAGTCACTACAGCCTCCAGTCACTACAGCCACACAGTCACTACAGCCACACAGTCACTACAGCCTCCAGTCACTACAGCCACACAGTCACTACAGACTACAGTCACTACAGCCACACAGTCACTACAGACTACAGTCACACAGTCACTACAGCCTCCAGTCACTACAGCCACACAGTCACTACAGCCACACAGTCACTACAGCCTCCAGTCACTACAGCCTCCAGTCACTACAGCCACTCCAGCCTCCAGTCACTACAGCCACACAGTCACTACAGCCACACAGTCACTACAGTCACTACAGCCTCCAGTCACTACAGCCACACAGTCACTACAGCCATACAGTCACTACAGTCACACAGTCACTACAGCCTCCAGTCACTACAGCCACACAGTCACTACAGCCACACAGTCACTACAGCCACACAGTCACTACAGCCTCCAGTCACTACAGACTACAGTCACTACAGCCACACAGTCACTACAGACTACAGTCACACAGTCACTACAGCCTCCAGTCACTACAGCCACACAGTCACTACAGCCACACAGTCACTACAGCCTCCAGTCACTACAGCCTCCAGTCACTACAGCCACTCCAGCCTCCAGTCACTACAGCCACACAGTCACTACAGCCACAGAGTCACTACAGCCACACAGTCACTACAGCCACACAATCACTACAGCCACACAGTCACTGTAGCCTCCAGTCACTACAGCCACACAGTCACTACAGCCTCCAGTCACTACAGCCACACAGTCACTACAGCCACACAGTCACTACAGCCTCCAGTCACTACAGCCACAGTCACTACAGCCTCCGGCCACACAGTCACTCCAGCCACACAGTCACTACAGTCACTACAGCCTCCAGTCACTACAGCCACACAGTCACTACAGCCACACAGTCACTACAGCCTCCAGTCACTACAGCCACACAGTCACTACAGCCACACAGTCAGTACAGCCTCCAGTCACTACAGCCACAGAGTCACTACAGCCACAGAGTCACTACAGCCACACAGTCACTACAGCCACATCCACTACAGCCACACAGTCACTACAGCCTCCAGCTACACAGTCACTCCAGCCTCCAGTCACTACAGCCACACAGTCACTACAGCCTCCGGCCACACAGTCACTCCAGCCACACAGTCACTACAGTCACTACAGCCTCCAGTCACTACAGCCACACAGTCACTACAGCCTCCAGCCACACAGTCTCTACAGCCACACAGTCACTGCAGCCTCCAGCCACACAGTCACTACAGCCACACAGTCACTACAGCCTCCAGCCACCCAGTCACTGCAGCCACACAGTTACTACAGCCACACAATCATTCCAGCCTCCAGCCACACAGTCACTACAACCTCCAGCCACACAGTCACTTCAGCCACACAGTCACTTCAGCCACACAGTCACTTCAGCCACACAGTCACTACAGCCTCCAGCCACACAGTCACTACAGCCACACAGTCATTCCAGCCACACAGTCATTCCAGCCACACAGTCACTACAGCCACACAGTCACTACAGCCACACAGTCACTACAGCCACACAGTCACTACAGCCACACCGTCATTACAGCCTCCAGCCACACCGTCATTACAGCCTCCAGCCACACAGTCACTACAGCCACACAGTCACTACAGCCACACAGTCACTACAGCCACACAGTCACTATAGCCACACAGTCACTACAGCCACACAGTCACCAGAGTCTCCACTGCCACACAGTCTCCACTTCCACCAAAGCCCCACAGTTACTACAGTCACTACAGCCCCACAGTCACTACAGCCATCCAGTCACACAGGCGGCGTCTCAGAGCGCTTAACAGTGGTGGAGCCCAAGGCCGAGCCTGGGGTATGGGGAAGGTGATGGTAGAATCGGTTGAAAACAAAGGTTGTAAGGCGCGACCTGAAGGAGGGGGTGAGGCAAAGGGCTTGATGGAGGGGGTTCCAAAGTTTTGTGGCATAATGGTTGAGGGCACGGCCTTGGATGGTGAAGCGGATGATTCAGGGGATGCGGAGGAGGCCGGACCCAGTAGAGCGGAGCCAGCGGGTACTGCTGTGGGGAGAGAGGAGGTTAGAGAGATAGGGGGGTGCCAAGGAATGGAGGGATTTAAACACTAGACTGAGGATCTTGAAGTTGATCGGCTCTGTGACAGGGAGACAGTGGAGATTGGCAAGGACTGGGGTAATCGGGGTACGAAGTTTGGTGCGGGTGAGAATGCCGGATGGCGGATTGCCGATTGAGCTGGATTTGAGGGGAGAAAGATGAGGAGGGCGTTAGAGTAATCCAGCCGAGAGGTGACAAAGGCGAGGACAAGGGTTTCAGCAGCTTTTGGGGGTGAGGTATTATTGGAGATAGGCAATTTGGTGGAGGTGGAAGAAAGCGGTGGTGGTCAGGGACTGAATGTGGGGGAGGAAGGATAACTGGGGATCGAACCTGACGCCTAAGTTGCATACGGGTTCAGGGAGTCTTATGGTCAGGTCGGGGAGGTTGAGGAGGTCAGATTCGTGGGACAGAAGACGTTGGCGGGAGACAAAGAGTATGGCTTCCGTCTTGTTGACGTTTAACTACAGGAAATTTGCGCTCATCCAGCTTCTGATGTCTGACAGACAAGCTGACAGAATATCGGGGCACTGAGAGTCGCAGCTGGAGGTGGATAAGTAGAGTTGAGTGTCATCCGCATACGTGTGGAAGTTTACCCCGTGTCTGCGGATGACATCACCGAGAGGGAGCATATGGATGAGGAAGAGAAGGGGGGTCAAGGATGGATCCTTTGGGTACCCCGCAAGTGATCAGATGGAAGTGCAAAGAAAAGCTATTTGCAGAAATGTAATGCTGGCGGTTTGTGAGGTAGGACTCGAAGGTTTGAGATAGGGTGGTAGTGGCCGAGATTGGAGGAATCGAGGGTAGGTTTTTTAAGGAGGGTGGGGATGACCGCGGTTTTGAGGGCGAGTGGGACTGATCCTGAGGAGAGAGACTGGTTAATAGTGTCTGTGTCTGTAGTGTCTGTAACACTGACCTGAAGCAGACCGGAGCCCACTGAGCAGAGGGAGCGGGCAGGTTGGTAGGGGGTTAGGAGGTTGTAGAGGCAGGGGAAGTAAGGCCATGGAGGGTTTTGAAGGGTAGAACCGGGATCTTGAACTGTATCCTCTGTGTGATGGGAAGCCAGTGGAGTCGGGCGAGGATGGGGATGATAAGGTCACAGAGCCTGGTGCTGGAGAGGACACAGGCTGCAGAGTTCTGGTTGATCTGCAGCCTATGGAGGGAGTTGTTGGGGAGGCTGACAAGCAAGGAGGTTGCGTGGTCGAGCCTCGATGTTATGAATACCTCTTCCTTCCATTCACACACTTCTAGTCCTTCTATTAAATACAATGATTATTATTGCATTATTAGATACATCTTTTGTACTTGTGCAGTAAGCGCTCTGAGACGCCTGTGGAGGGTGCTATATAAATCCAAGTTGTTGTTGTTATTCACCTCTGATAGCTTTCTGAGCCCGCTGTGGAATTGCAATATTTTTCAGTGAAAGTAGTGGTGTTTTCTGTTTGTTGCTTCTCTACTTTTGTAAGATAATTCTGCAAGCAGTTAATATGTAGGTATCCAATGTTGTGTGGTCACTTATGAGTACTGACGTAAACAATCAGTCTTATCCAATCTTCAGGCGTGACCTGAAGATGGGGAAGGAGGGGTCGGGTGAAGGGGTTGAGGGAGTGAGTTCCAAAGTTTTGGGGCATAGTGGTTGAAGGCACAGCTGCCGATGGTGGAGCGAAGGATTCGGGCGACACGGAGGAGGCCGGATCCAGTAGAGCGGAGTTAGCGGATAATGTTGTGGGGAGGAAGGAGGTTAGAGAGATAGAGGGGCGTCAAGGAACGGAGGGATTTAAACACTAGACTGAGGATCTGGAATATATTTGATCCAAATGTGTTGATTTGCTCCTCATTTC